GTACTGAAACTGGAAAGGCAATGACAGACCTTAAGAGGGCCCATGCGTTCTGGGGTGAAAAGCACAAGGATTTTTCAAGGTGTTGGGGGAGACACTCCTGAATGTTTCCAGCCATTTGATGGCACTGCCCCCCAACAGTGCTGTCTCTGATTTGGCACAACTTCCTCTGTAATGTCTCTCAGCATCATCACTGCTGCATTTTAGTCTTTGTTAAAAAATCTGAAGAAAGGTTTTCACAAATCAGTAGAGACCAAAATTCTGTCCCTGAGATTCCATTTCTCCCTGGATGAATCTCCCAGCTTTAAAAGGCAATGCCATCCTGAGGCCTGGGAGGGAGCCAGACAAGGGGAGGGAAGGAGTGCCCTAGGCCCTCTGCTGGCCAGACCTGGTATTGCCAGCACAGCCCGGAGGCCCAGGGCCAAGCAGAGCACCACAACCTGTGCTCCAGGGCCCTCAAAGGCACAACTGCTCCTAGAGAAATAGGAACAATGGTCATAGCTGCCATTCATTATTAAGCAGGTACTGTCTGTCAGGCTCTAGTAGGCAGTTTGCACTCATTATCTCATTTACATTTTAATTCTCCAAGCATTTCTTTCAACAACCCTGAAAGATTTTGTAAGAGGCTGAGTCCCCCAGTTAGTAAGTGATGTTTCGGAACTAAAATCCTACTCCGATTGGCTCCAAGCATCTGACTGGCTCCAAGCTCTTTCCCATCTCTTGTGCTTATAAGTCAGCCTAATACTTGCCCTGACTGGGCTGTGACTCTGACCCTGGCTCTAACCCAGCTAGATTATCCACTTTTGATCTGAGCCTCAAGCCAAATCCTCGCTTCAGCCTCAAACTAGAATCCACCCACCTTGCCTCCTGCTCCTGGCTCTTGATTCCTGGCTTCCAGTGTTTGCACTAGATCTTCCCTGGGGTTGGATGGCCCTTCTCCCTACCAATTTGATTTCCTTCCAAGCTTGATACTTTATTTCCATCTGTCTTCAGGGCTAGCAGCCAAATCCTCAGAAAGAAAAGGGTGAAGTGTGGAGGACCAAACAAGCTGTGAACACTGAGGAAGAGTGTACATCCCAAGTGTTAGCCGGGCGAGGTGTCCTGAGGTTAGTGACCCAAGGTGGGAAGTGGGTGAGGCCCTAGGTCCTGTGGGAGGGAAAAGAGCTAAGCCAGAGCAGCTGGGCTCTCAGCAGGAGGTCCCTTTGACATTCTTGACACCCGTGTAGGAATCTAGCAGTGACTCCAAAACTCCTGCCCTCCTCCCACTGTATGTGTGCAGAAGGGAGAGCTGGAATTGGCAGCTCTTCTCCAGAGCAGTGGGTGCAGCCTTGAGATCACACTTCAGCACGTTGGGCAGGCTTGCTGGTGACTGGCTCCTTCTCCCCTGATTACCAGTGTTACTGCTTGCAACAGTCATTCTCAAGAAAGGAAGGAACTTGCCTGGCCTCAGCCTCAAGCTGAGGTAATCTCTTTCCTTATCTCTCTAAGAGAAGCAGTAAGACAGACCTAGGTTTTATGCCATCTGACTGAGAAGCCCTGTGATATTGGTCAAGTTATCTAACCTCCCAGAGCCTGGGTTTTCTCATTTCAAAATGGGGTAATAATAGAACTTTCACATTTGGTTGTAAGGGTTAATTGAGAGAATGCACTTAGCTCAAGGCCTGGCATGAAACAGCTTCTTAATAAATTGTATCTAATACTTTTAATTGTTTATGGGCTTCAGTTTCCTGATCTGGAAAAATGAGCATAATAATAATAATTTAAACTTCTTAACGTTTTTCTAAGAACCCAATGAGATAATGGATATAGAGCAGTTATGAATGATTCCATAACAGTGTAAAAAACTGGATATTTCCTTGATTCTCTAAATCAGACAATTCTCAGCTAACCTTTTAACCACCTACCTTATGGAACATTTAATCTCACTTGTGTTTTGTGGCTTTCTTTCCAATCTCTTTTCCCCTAGTTGAGCATCTTGCAAAAGTCTCTGGGGGTTTTATGTTGGACAGAATAACTGGAGGTGGGGAGGGCCTCGGCCTTCAGACCATGCCTGTTATGCTGGTGTGCACCTTGTTCAGGCCTGCCCTCCCCCTTGAGGGTGCTGCTTTGAGGCTTCAGTGCCAGCTTGGACATGGTGATCTTTCCTGTTTCCATTCAATTCTTAATGTTCTCTATTCTGGGCCCCCTGTGAAAGTGGGGTCCAGGCTACTTTTCTCCCCAGAAACATTGTGATAGGTAGAATTTTGGCTCCCATTGCCTTTGTCCTCTGGTGTTATTCCTGGGATTTTGGCAAAAGGGGCTGCAGATTTAATTAAGATTAATAATCATCTGACCTTAAAATAGATTATCCTGGATTATCTCAATGGACCTAATCTAATCATATGAGCTTAAAAAACAGAGATCTTCCTTAGCCTTGTAATAGAAGGGAAAGTAAGAGATTTGAGGAATGAGGAAGATTTAACTTGACTTTGTTGGCTCGAAGATGAAGGGCCCATATGTCAAGGAAATAAGGACCTCAGTCCTACAACCAAAAGGAATGGAATTCTTTCAATAACCTGAATGATCTTGGAATCAGATTCTTCCCCAGAGCTTCCAGAAAAGAGCCCAGTTGACACCTTGATTTTGGCCTTGGGAGGCCCTGAACAGAGGGCCCAGTTGAGCCACACTGTGCCTGGATTTCTGACTCACAGAACTGTAAGATAATAATGGGGTACTGTTTTAAGCTGTTAAATTTGTGGTAATATGTTACAGCAGCAAAAGAACACTAATACAGTGCTCAAGAATCCCATTCCTTTTCTTAGTCTTGGGGACTCTCCTCTCCTCAGGTCCTGAAGATTCTGTTTCTTCAACTCTAAGCCCTCACAGACGGTTGGGCACAATTCACCCCCTAGGTGAAGTGTTTGTAAAAGTCTAGGAGCCTTGCTTTTCACAAACAAAACCTAGGGCAGAGAGTTTCTGAAAATTTCTATTTTTGATGCTGCGATTTAAAAAGGTTTAAGTCTAGGGGATACAAAGATTTATGTAGTTTCTTATGATGGGAGGAGGGACAAAATGAACAAATTGGAAATGAACATCTCAATAAAAGTTCCTGACACGTATATAAGTACCCAGCCTAGTACTTAACATACAGTAACTAATATGCTTTGGAATTAAAAAAGTTTGGATTTTTGTTGTTCCAGGAATTTAAAATTTGGGTTGCCTTCTGCCTATCCTGACCTAACTCTATCCAGTTTTACCCAAAATTATTAAAACATTATCTTCTGTGCCATGATGAAAAGCACTCCACAACTAAAGGACCCCAGCATGTGGAATTGCTGATCTTCAAGGTGACTTCAGGTGTGGTGGCTCCACCATAAGGAATTTGATCTCGTCATCCTGGAACATCAGAAGCTGAGCAAGATGCACAGCTGTCCCCAGAAGAGTTTTGTTTCTGCATCCAAGATGAGCCAGATGGCCACTTATCACCCTCCTTGTGCTGTAGACCAGGATTCTATGGAGTGGCAGGGATCACCTGTTCTAAGAGACCTTTCTCTTGGGACAGGTGTGCATACTGTATTGTGTCAATGAAAAGCATATTCTCACCTCTCTAAATCCATCAGGTACTACTAAGATGACCTTCATAACATACCCACCCATTCTAGCTCAACCTGATTTGAGGGCAGATATGGTAGGAAAACCTCTTGAGAAGCTGAACATATCTTCCTCCAAGTTTAGGCCTCTATCTGCTTCAACTCTCATCTCTTTGGTTGCCAAATATATATTTGAGTACCTGCTATGTGCCAGGTAAAGTTTTGGCCCTGAGGATACAGTGATGAACAAGACAGACTTTGGGCCAGCCCTATGGATCCCGTATTTTGTAAGAAAGATAATCACAAAATAATCACATACTTTTAAGGGATTTAACATGCAATGACTCTGATAGTCTCTCCTGACACCTTGACTCCAGCCACAGCCTTAGTTTCTCTTAAAGAAACTTTTGTTCCAAGTCCTTAATGTCTGAATGCATCTATGTCTCCTGCACCTACCATACGCAAAAGGTTGGTCAGCTTTGAGGAACCAACAGTTCTAGGGGAATGTCTCCATGACCACACATCAGCCGATGCTCCCACACATCCCGCCCTCACAGCACTGAGGGCCCTACCCTACATTCTCTCATACCACCTATAATAGTCATTTTTGATATTCTGCAATTGCTGATTTGGCATCCTGAATTTATGGGCCAAGCTGATGACCAGAGTTGTTTACATCTTTTGAAGGTGCTTGAAAATGATATTATGTACCTTCTAACCATAAGCTCCTAAATGGTTTCACTTCCTGCCCAATAGGGGACATCCCCACCTAAAAACTTCCCACCACTATAGTAATAAAGGCTTTTTGTCCATGTTTTCCCCTTGCGTCTTCTGCCTCCTGATTAACCCTGGTGCGTTCCCATGTGGCCCTGTGTGGCACAGTATGCCCCTCCTCTTGGGGACTATAAGTAATAAATTATTCTTTCAGTGGCATTGACCTGTGTCTTCACTCAGTCCTATTGATAAAGGAAATCCCAGGTACATTTTAAAACACCACCTGGCACAGCTCAGACCCAAGACTGGCTAGGCCCTGGAGGAGCTAACATTGTGATCAAGGTGAATATGATTCAGAGATGACATCAGACTCCTCCCCACAGACCCCACAACACCTTCCCTGCCCCAGACCTGCAGACCTCTTTCCAAGTATGCCAAAGTTACTCCAAAACTCCCCAAATACTAATCTTCAGTTCTCTTTAACCATGATATTCCACTCCACCCAATCTCTATTCTTTGGAATACCATATAGAGAAGGAGGGCTGGATTTCTGCTAGCATCAAGGCCAGCTTAAACAACTGGCATGGTAGGACAGGATCAGGTCAGTGGTTCTGGGAACTATTCTCCCCTTGGAATCAGTACTGAATGTGGCATAGCCCTGGTCCCAGGCTCCAGGGCTGGGCCAGAGGAAGGAAAAAGGAGCAGAGGTATCTGCTCTGGCTCACTAAGCTAGATCAAACCCCTCAGAGCTCTCGAAGTTGGGGACACACACTTTGGTATGAGATGCAGTGGTCAGTGTGTGTACGTAAATAAGTCTATAAAAGCAGGTGCCCAATTACAGCAGTATGATGCATAAGCCTGTTTTGCCTTTGCTAAGTACTGGTCCTCGATTCATCACGTACGTACCCCATCCTCTTTGAATCCTACCCACCAGCTACTACACAGCCCATGCCCCTTGCCCGTGTGACCCAGAATTCAGACAGAATTCATCCCGGACCACCACGGGCTTTGCCTTTTCCCATCAGGCCAATAAATGCTTAGTGAGGAGGCAAATACTTTATTGAAGTGCAACTTGCAGGGTATACTTGTGGACCTCCCATACGAGGGGCATTTAAAGATTGTCTTGGAAGAAGAGGGCTCTGGGTGTGGTTTTGTGTGTTCACAAGTGTGTGCAAACCTGTGGAGGGCATCTGTGTGTCTATTGGTGTATGATGCTCAGAATGTGTGTATTTATGAGGTGCACGACTGAATGTGTATATGTTACGAGGGTATAACACATATCTATGTGTGTGAGAAAGCAAGTGTGCTCTGAGGAGAACTCCACAGCATTTTATATGGAATGCACAGTCCTGGGGCCAGAGTGTGTATGCTGGTGAGTGGGGAATGAATGTGTGCTATCCTCCTACACCCCTACAGCAGACACGATGGCAGAGTTTCTGCAGGCAGGATTTCCTCTAACTCTGGATTTACTTGTAGGTGGGGGGCCTGAGGATAGAGATGGGGTCACTCTGGGCCTGGGGGACCCTCCTGGCCAGCCCTGCCCTCTCTACTCTTGGACGTTCCCTCCTCAGGGTCACCCTCGTCATCAGCCTCGGCCAGTTCCTCAGGCATTGGCCACTCTCGAGTCTGCCACTCCAGCCGTTCAATGCGATAAGCAATCTTGAGTGCGCTGGACTCCAGCTCAGCCAGGAGGCGGGCAAACTTGGTCTGCAGATCATCCAGTTGCTGGTCGAGGCCTTGCAGACGGGACTCTGTGGCCTCCTGTAGGGCAATTTCAGCTGCTTCGGCATTTACGTCCAACTTGTTCATTTTGAGCAGGATCTCACGGCCCTTTTCCTCCATGACGGTCTGGGCCTGTGGATACTCGCTCAGTACTTCCCGCAGGTCCTCCTTGCTCAGGCAAAACAGGTCTGAATAACCTAGACTCTTGATGTTGGCTGTGCGGCGGTTCCCAGACATGTTCCCTGTGGCATATAGGCAGACGTGAGAAGAATAATTAGTCAGGTTGGGTGTGAGGGGGCATTTCACTCCTGAACCAGGACCCCCACCATCATATTTGCCCTTCTGAGCCTCTTTTTCTGCTTCATTAACTCTTTCATTCAGTAAAGAACTGGGGACTAGGCCATGTGCTGGGTGGATATCTGACTTGCCTCTAAGAATTCACAGTCTAGAGGAGGTAGACATTTAATCGGATAGTTACATAACAATATAGCTGGTGCAGTATAGACATATGCATCCGGTACTGTGGGAAGATAGGCAAAGAGCCCCTAACAAGCTGCAAGGTAGAGAATTTAGGGAAGCCTGGAGGAAGTGATGCCTGACTGAGTAGGAGGTAACTAGGGGAATAGAGGGAGGGAGGGAGGTATCTAGGCAGAGGGAGGAGCATGAGCAGAGGGATGGAGGTAGGAAAGTTAGGTGGATGCAGATAATAGTAAGTAGTCCAGAGTGGCTGAAGTGCAGGGTGTGAGGAGAGTGGAAAGAGGAGGAGAGAACCAAATCAGCCGAGTCTCATAAGGCATGGTAAAGAGTTCAGACCTTATGCTGAGGGCAGTGAGAAACTACTGAAATATTTTAAGCAGGGGAGCTGTATGGTATCATTTGCATTTTAGAAAGATACTAGTGGGGGGCGGATGGGAAGAGAGGTTAGGCCAAATGCTGCAAAGTCTCATAGCTAGAAGGACCTAAGAAGGAGCAAGGGAGCCACTGTTTGTTGAACGCTTGCTGTGCACCAGGCACTGTGCTGGGTGCCTCACCCATACAGCTTATTTAATCCTCACAAATAACTCTTTGGGCTTTTAATATCAGCCCCATTGGATAGGTGAGGAAATGGAGGCCTAAAAAAGGGAAGTGACTTGTCTGAAGTCAGGTAGACAGTGGCCAACTCCATATAGGATGTGGAGCCTGAGGAGTCCTTAGGGGACAGATGTGAGGCCTTTAGAACAACTAGACAGTGGGATTCCCAGGCTGAGTGTGTATCCAGCCTCAGTCAGTGACAGTGCACTCACCCCCTTTCATCTCCTGTAGCATCGGTTGAACAACTCCTACTGCACAGGGCTGATGAGAGGAAAAAATGAGCCAGTGTAGGGTACCTGGCCTGACCCAGCCTGGAGTTGATGGAGTACCTGGGGATTCCTTCCTTTCCACTTGGCTGTGAGAAAGTTGTTCCTTGTACTGACCCCAAGTGTGTGTACTTATTACCCATATGACCTAATTACCTGTGGACAAGTTCCCAAACTTCTCTGTGCTCCAATTTCCTTACCTTTAAAGTGCAGATAATAGTACATACCTTATAGAGTTGCTGTGGGAATTTAATGATTTGGTACATGTGAAGCACTTTGAACAGGGCAGGTACTAAGCACACAATAAATATTAGCTGCTATTATTATTATTATTATTATTATCTCTGCTACCTTCCACCGGTCTGTTGGTGCTTCAGGTTGACACCTGCAGAGCATGCGTCCTCTCTCTTCCAAGGACCCACCCTCCTCACTGACCTTGGATCAGCTTCTTCTCAGGGAAAAGACCCTCCATGTCCTGCCTCTCTCCTGAGCCCTCTGGTGACTCAGGCAAGTGCCAAGTTTCCTTAATCTGTAGGCCCTGATGTACCATCTGGTCTCAGTACTGGGGTCTGCTGTCCCCATACACCTCCCCTGGCCCTGTTCCCAGAACAAACGCTGGGGTACCCACCTTTGATGTTGATGATGCTGATCTCCCCAAAGTAGAGCCCTGCACCAAGCACAGCGTACTGTGTGATTCCATCATCTGCCACCACGGCAAGTTGACCTTCGCGGATGATGTACATCTCTCGGCCAATGTCCCCCTTGCGGCAGACATATTCACCTGGTGAGTAGGTCTGGGGCTGCAGCTTCAGCACCAGCTCCTCTAACAGGCTGGCCTCACAGTTCTGGAAGAGCTGCACCCGCCTCAGAGTAGACAGGTGTACAGACACGGCCACTTCTGCCCGCAACCGCTCGGGCAAGTGCTGTAAGATAGCTACCTCATTGGTCATCTTCTTGTTGATCTGCAGGTGCTGGTACCTGGGGGCAAGGGCAGCACCAGTTCCTCACCAGCCCCCTACATGCCTGCCTCCACACCTTCCATCAGTGCTCAAGTTAGTTTCAGCCAAGAGCCCAACCACACTGAGATCTCACAGGGGCATGAGAATACTTGACAGTTGGCTGATGAATACTTTCAGTCCGCAATTTCCTTTGCTGGTCACAGATAGGTTTTGACCTTTTCTTCCTCAGCCAGGGCCTGGAAGCCTCTACCAGCTGACAATGAATAAGATACTCTTTACCTCCTGTCAGGCTCTCCCCACCCACCAGTGAGTGATGTTTTGTGCCATCCCACTGACACCTACTTCAATCACCAAGCCCTGTCTTCTCTAGAGGCCCTCTGCTCTAGTCCCCAACTTGGTGTCGCTTCCTATTGTTCAGCCTACAGTATGGACTACCATGACATAGTCAACCATTTTGTTGTTGGCCATCCCCAGGGTGGGGAGGGATTGCCCTTCCCTGTTTACTGCTTCCAGGCCCTCTGAGCCCTACAGGCAGTGCCAGTTCCCATTCCCTGGTCTCCAGGTTATCCTTTCTCATGCATGAGTTCCTCTTCCTGTCAGTCTCTTACCCAACCCCTCCCTCTAAGGCCAGATCCAATTAGTGGAGGACATTCTTTTTCAAGCCTCACCCAGTGAACCCCCCAATGAATGCAACATCCTGACTGCCCTGCCTGGCCCCTCAGACAATAAGAAACCAGCCATCTTCCTCAGATTCTATCACATACACCTCTCCCTGTCCTGGGCTGGATCCCCAGCATCCTCACCAGTCAATAACTCGCCGCTCCAACCGGCGGTTGACATGCTGCAGCTTCATGTACTTCTTCACAAGTGCATGGTCTGGGTAGAAAGCTGCATCTGCAGTGTTCATGTTGTAGATGACAGAGCTCATGCTACCCATGATGGTGGCAAAACCCATGACGGCCAGCAGGAAGTCTCCCACCATGAAGAGGTACTCCTCCTCCCGGGCTGGCAGCGGCGTATCGCCCACGGTGGTTAGGATCAGTGTGGAGAAGTAAAAGCTGTAGAGGTACTGGCGCCGCAGGCGCTCAAAGCCAGGCTGTGCGGGATCAGGGTACACCCAGGAGTCACGCCCGAAGCCCAGGTACCTGGACAGGGCAAAGTACAGGCAGCTGTTCCAATGGATGACAACAAAAATGTAAAGCATCAGCTTGGCAATGCGAAAGGCGTTTGGGTAAGCTGTGCGGGTCTCTGTGCGGTCAAAGGCCTCAAAGAGGCGGGGTGCCCTCAGAAAGCGGTTCAGCCTCAGTGTGGGTGTGTGCGGGCCCAGCTGCAAGTAGGCCACGTCTGTGGGCACCAGGGAAGCCAGGTCCACGAGGAAGCTCCAGGTGCGAGCATAGCGACTGGCGATCCTACTCTTGTCCACCACAAGGATGCCCTGTTCCAAGAAGCCTGGGGAGGAAGAGGGGAGGTCAGGCTGGGGTCAGCTGTAAGATGGAGTCAGGTATGTGGCTCAGTCAGGGCGCCTGCCTACTCCTGTAATAAGGGTGAGGGTGGGCAGGCCAGGCTAGGACAGAGGGACAGTCACGGGGACAGGGTAGTGGTGGGCATAACCTGTTCTAGGGTTTCTGTGGTGAGCATAAGGGTGTTGACAAGCATAGAGGCATGTGAAAGTGCCGTCAGGGAGGGGGTCACTTTCTTGTTACTAAGAGGAAGGGAAGACAGAACAAAGGGTCAGTCCTGGGACTCACTGACCTGTGTGGAAGCGCACCACGATGTCCAGTAGGTACAGCAGGTCACTTATGTAGTCCAGCACTAACCAGGCTACCAGATAACCATGCTGCAAGTCAGGAAAGCAGGCTCTGCGTGGTGGGGAGAGAACGGATTTGTTTAAGGGCACTCTCCGTGTGTGAGGTCATCTGCCCAAGCCACACAGCACTCTGCCCTGGGCCCTCGCATAGGCCCTGCCCCTCCCCGGGGTCCCACCCAAAGGCCCGCCCTTCTCCTGGGTCTCAGTTTTTAGCTTTTGTCTCTGCTTAAGGCCCTCCCGTGGTCCCACCAAACCTGCTGACGATGATGAGGAGGTTATACATTACTGGGAAGACCATTGTGTTCAGCCACCAGTAGTAGTAATCCCCAGATGGGTCCAGGACAGGCAGCGACTTCCTGGGGGCAACAGAGGAAGTCTGTTTCATTTATTCACCAGACATTCAATGTTGAGGGTCTGGGGGCACCAAGAGGAATTAGCCTTTATCTAGTGCAGTGGACAGATCTGACACCAGGGACCAGGATCTCTCACCTGGCCTTGGACAGAGCAGGGGGCCTGGACTCTGTTGTCTTCACTTTGCTGTCCTGGTTCATGGTTCTGTGACCTGGTGCCTGGGTGTGAGATATCCAGGGCCTCTGCCTGTAGGTGGCTTCAGAAGGTGGGGGCTAGCGTCTGCCTGCCTGGAGGAGGCTGCCTTTGGTCTCCAGCTGCGACTTCTCTGTCTTTGGTGTCTGAAGCTCTTAGCAACACAACCAGGGCCAGCTGGTACTGAGGGGGCGGAGGCAGTGTGGCTCCAGCTCCCTGCCCTGTCTCCCAGGGCCTAGGCTTACACCTGCCCAGCTAAACATCACTAATGAGGTCCCTGGAGAAGGTGAGGGTGCATGCCTCAGGGGTAAGCCTGGGCAGTGTGTCACCTTCCCTGCCAACAAGGTGTAGTACATGGGGGCCCACTAGGTCAGGAGATCTGGGTGCCATTGTAGGCTCAGTCATTCATTCAGTTTTACATTGTGCAAGTTCCCTGCTTGGGCCTTATTCTTTATTCACTTAACAACTATTTACTGAATGGGTCTTTTGTGTCAGGTGCTGAACTAGTCTCTGGGGACGAAGAATGCCTGTCACATCAGATGTGAACTCTGCTTTTATTATATGCACCCTTATCTACATCCACATTAACCTTGCCTCTTTCCTGCTGGATGAGTGTGACAGGGGCCATCCTGTGGGGTTTTGCCCCTATTCCTTCCTGTTACCTCTAGGGCCTGATCCCACCAGCTATCCCACATGTTTCCTAGATCCTCAACCTCTTTCAATTTCCCTTTCTGTGAACATGCTTAAATCTCTCCCATACTAAAACAAACAAAAAATCTAAAAATTCTCCCTCAGCTTGATGTCCCTTTAACTACTATCGTCTTTCTCAGTCAACAAGTCATAATCAGAACACCTGCTATGTGCCAGGTCAATATTGTGCTAAGCACTGGGGATAAAAGAAGAAGAAAAACATTCCCTGCCCTCCAGAAACTCACAGTCCTGTAGGGGAAATAGTCAGGTGTGCAGGCAATTACACGCCAGACTGGTGGGTACTCCTTTAGGTGGATACACAGAGGGCTATGACAGTACACAGGAAGGGAAAGGAAGGGTCCCAAGTGAGCCTGGATTCTGTAGGAAGAATAGGAGTTAGTCAGGTATAGAGATGAGATGGTGAAGAGCACTAGAGGCAACATGCATAGAATGTGCAAAGGAATAAAGATTTCCAAAAGCATGGGTGACAGGGGGAACATTAAGTGGTTTTTGTAGAGAACCTGAGGGGCCAGTGGTGAGAGATGAAGCTGAATGTTGGACAGACACCAGCTCAGGGAGAGTTTTGTCAGCCATGTTATAAATCTTGGATTTTATCTAAAGGCAATGGACACCTTGTGAAGCGTTTTGCACCGTTAAGTGATATGGTCAGATTTGTGTTTTTGGAGAGTTTCTTGGAAGAAACGTCTATAGTCCCCAACATTTTATCGAAATCCCCTTTTGCCATGGTTTCTGTGATACCATAATTTCTTGGTTTTCTGTTTATTTTTTCTTAGTGTCTTTCATAAGCTCCTCTGCCCATCCCTTCCGTGCTGATGTTTTTTAGGACTCTGTCCTAGGCCTTTTCTTTCCATCCTCCCAACTCTCTCTGGCCAATCTCAGTCACCCACAGGATTTCCTTTCCCATCTAATGACTCCCAAGAACTCTTTCTGAGCTGCAGACCTTTGTATACCACTAATTTCTCACTGGATGTCCCCACTTGGATACCCCACAGTCACCTTCAGCCCATTGGGTCTATAACTGAGCTCATTATCTTCCCCCATCTGCTCTTTCTTTTATAATATCTATCTTTGGCATTTCAGCCAAAATACCCAACACCAGTATTTATTATTATCGCTATCATTATTATTATTGTATGACATTTTGGCGGTTTTTAAAAATGGTCACAAATTCTTTGACGTTCCTCCCTTATGACTATTTCAACTAATAGAGTACAGCAGGAGTGATGTTGTGTGACTTCTGAGGCTAGATCATAGAAGGCCATGCAGCTTCCTTCTGGTTCTCTTGGAATGCCAGTTGTTTGGAAGCTCCCTCTCAGGATGCTCCCTCTTGGAACCTAGCTGCCACATTGTGAGAAGCCCAAGCCACAAGCAGCAGTCGTGTGTCTGTACTCTGTTTGACAGCCCCACCTGAGCTGAGCCTTTGAGTTGTCCCAGCTCAGGCATCAGACATGTGAGTGAAGAAGCTTTCAGATGATTCCAGTCATCAGCCTCAAGTCACCCCCAGGTGTTCGAGCTTCCCAGATGAGTGTCTTGCTTGAATTTGCAGAATCTGTGAGCATAATAAAATGGCCATTGTTTTATACCACTAAGTTTGGGATGGTTTGTTACACAGCATAATAACCAGAACAAACATACATATAGAAAAGTGCACATTTTCTTAGTATACAGCTTGATAAATTTCACAGAGTGAACACACCTATGTAACCAGCACTCATGTAGAGAACCCCACTTTGCCTGCTTCCAGTCAATGCTTTTCCAATGGTAATCACTCTCCTGACTTCTAATAGCATAGTTTAGTTTTGCCTGTGTTTGAACTTATATAAGCTAAGCATCAGTTTTTAGTCCTTCCTCTTTTTTCCCTCTTATATTCATCCAGTCATCAAGCCCAGTGACCTACCTTCTAATGTTCACATAGCTATTTCTCTGCATCCGTACTACTCTAATTTTGGCCCTATCAATCTGGCCATGTATAAAATTCTTTATAGTTCCCTATTATCCCAAGGATAAAATCTAAACTCTTTAACTTGACCTACAAAGCTCTCTAGTGTCTCACCTCTGTCCTTGTCTTCAGCCTTATCTCAGAATGTTTCCTCTGCATGTTCCCTAGGGTCCAGACATGCTGTACTGATTGTTGTTCCCAGCGCACCCCCTAGGAGTTGTCCATTCTTCCTTGCCTTGGTATGTGCTGATCCTTTGGGCCGAAACTTCTATTTCTTTTTCTTTCTAAATACTTTTTGTTTTGAACTAATTTTAGGCTTACAGAAAAGTGGCAAAAATAGTACAGAAAGTTCTTGTAAATTCCTTACCCATGTTCCCCTGTTATCATCTTATAGAACCAGAGTACAATGATCAAAACCAGGGGATTAACATTGGTACAACACTTCCAACTAAACTACAGACCTTATCTGAAACTTCCATTTCTCTTAGTGTATCTTACTCTTGTTTGTTTCTTAAGACTCTGCTCAGACATCATCTCCTCCTGGAATGCTTCCCTAAGCCCCTTCCCTCTCTTTCCCCTCACCCTCTGAACACACGTATGTTAAATCCTGCTCCTTAATGGTCCTGGAGGGCAGAGACCGGTTCTAATTCACCTGGAATCCCGCCTGACAAGGAGGCATTTATTCCGTGATCATTGAGTGACTGAATAAGACAGTATCCAAGAGATCACGGGGCAGCAGGTGTTGGGGGAAGGAAAGGGGGCAATCATCGCCCGGGTACTATGCAAGCTGTGCGGGCTGAGAAGGCAAAAATGAATTAGACTGTTGTCAATCATCCCTCGCTAGAGCGCTTTTCCCCAGGCCCCGCCCACCTACTGACTCCGCCCTCAGGCCTACAGTTTGGTACTAGCCACGCCCCTTCCACGCCCAGTCTTCCACTCTAAGCACCTCCCAGGGTCCGTGGTCTCGTCTCTTCCCCTCTTGTCTCTTGCAGGCCCATCTTTCCCTAAGCCCCGCCCTCTAGTCTTTCCCTGTATCTTAATATCGCATCCCTCCTTAGAGCCCTCCTTCTGCCCTCTGGTTCGACCTTTCCTCTCCAGGCTCCGCCCCCCGCCCCGCGGGCCTCCGCCTCCCCAGAGGTCTTCCCCTATGACTCGCCTGAGTTCTTCTGGGGGGCGGGGTTTACAGCACGAAGGGGCGGAACCTGGGGAAGAGGCGGTACTCCTTGTTCCGAATACCGTCGGTGACACCGCCCCTGCGCCCGGCCGTTGCCAGGAAACAAGCATCGACGCTCCGTCTTTGGCCGGGCCCAGCCAATGAGCTGGCACGCTAGTGCCCAGTCGTGCGTCGCTGGGCGGTTACGTGTGGTGCGCGGGGGCGCGGGTTGCGTGTGGCGCGGGGCGGGGCGCGGCTGGTGCGCCTGAGGAGCGATGGCGGCGGCCTGAACTCACCTAGCCCCGCAGCAGTGTTCAGGCCTCGTCAGGGTCGGGGTCCTGGGAGTGAACAGTAAGCTTGGGTCGGAGGGCCCGGAAAGGCGCGTGAGGGGATGAGGACAGGGGAATGACGGCACCGGTTTTGGTGACTGTACTGGATGTGAGGGGACAGGGTGAGGGGCTGGCGTGTGGTGAGGGGCCGAGTGTGAGTGTCTCAGGTAGCGGAGCGGAGTGAGAGCCTGGGGTGAGTGAGCAAGTAAGGAGCTGGGTTGTATGAGGGGCCAGGTGGAAGGGACTTGTGAACGCGATTTACTGAGGGGCTGGGGCTCCTGAGGGCAGGGCTGAGGAGCAGCCCTGGGACCAGACTGAGGGGGGAAGGCCTGTGCGGGGAGGGGGAGAGTGAAGGGCGAAGGCGGGAGCCTGCGGGCCGGTGGTGAATTGGTGAGGGAGTTGAGGGCAGAGCAGGGGAGGAAGGGATGAGGGTTGTGAGACTGGGGTAAGAGTGAGAGTTGCTCCTGAAGCCTCTTTCAGTGGACTGTCCTGCCCAGTGAGAGCAATAGGCTGAGTAGGACAGCTTGAGTGGGAATGTCGTGCACTTGGCTCTTCTGCTCCCTTGGGCTCTACATATTTTGGAAGACAGAAAAATGAAGGCGTCATGAGAAATAGTAACTATGATAATGAAAATTATTTTCGAGGCTTAGTCTTTAACAGAATAGTCACTGGGACCTCTGTTCCCTCAAGTTCCTCCTTGGGACCGCAAACTCGAAGGTAGTCTCTCTCCTGGAGGTTTTCTGGCTATGATTGCCTTTGCTTGTTTTCTCTCTGCCAGCTTCTGGGTAACCTTTCTCTGCTGCTGCTCCTCACCTGTGCTGAGCTGTGGGCCTTTGATGGTTGTCACCTAGTTGCTAATTCTACTTTCATGGAAGTCACATGGTTTGTTACATACAACGCTATATTTAGGCTCCCAAACAGGATGGGTTTGCTCTCATTTTCTTACAGTTAAGCCTTTTCAAAAACTACTTTATTGACGTAAATTTGTGTACAATAAACTCATATTTAAAATGTACATTTGATTAATTTTGCCCTGTTTACATCTCTGAAACCATCACCACTTCCAAGATACTGAACATTTCTACCTCCCTCAAAAGTTTTACCCATCCCTTTGTAATTTATTCCTTTCTCTGTGACATATTGTTGGGTTCACTTTATCAGCATTATGGAGGTGCCCTTTTGCCTGCCAACCCATATGCACATGAAAATTTTGAAAGTTCTGGAAAGCTGGGTTGGCACTCAGTGATAATGGCCACTTTCACACCACTAAATTTTCCTCTGTACTAACAGTCTGCCACAGAGCCCAGATAACTTCCCCAACCTCAGGAAAAGTTAGGCCTTTCCTATCTGGACCATTCTCTGAGAATTAGGGGCAGCTCAAGTCCCCATTCTGTTCCAGAGTCTAAGCCTTAGAATCAACTATTCTATCCCATGGTATTTTCTCTTTGCTTCTCTCTGGGGGCCAAATAGGTTTCCATCCTGATGGAACCCTTGGCAACCTGCCCAGATTATCAGAACCCCATAGAACCTACATGTATAATAACACAGTTTAGAGGAGTGATTCCTAAACACTGGGGTGAGGACCGTGTCAGTGCATGATAGTTTTCATTCATCCAAGGTGGAAGGAGAGAAAGACAACATATGAAACAAGAGTTTTCATAAAGATAAATTTATTCTAAGATCATCATTCCTATTCATTTTTTTGTTTTTTTGGCTGAGGAAGGTTCACCCTGAGCTAACATCTGTGCCAGTCTTCCTTTATTTTACATGTGGGTTGCCCCCACAGCATGGCTGATGAGTGGTGTAGGTCTGTGCCCGAGATCTGAACCCGTGAACGTGGGACACTGAAGGGGAGTGCGTTAAACCCAACCACTATGCTATGGGGCAGGCCCCATCATTCCTATTCTTTTGGTGTTACAGTGCTCTCTCAGCGATGAAATAATGGTGATGGTAGATGATGGGTTTTAAAAAAACGGTTTATTTGCCAAAATAAAAAGTAACAATCCTTTTTTTTAATTTTTAAGAAATTATTTGTACTGGTTCATGAAATCCTGAAATTTAGAGTGATGGTGGTGTGGCTGCTGTATTATCTTGAGAAAGCATGCATTTGTACAGTAATTCTATATAATTTCTGACATCTGAACAGCATTCATGCATTACATAGCAATTTCAAATTCTACTGGATTTACACGGATACCTTGTGAAGTAGGCAAGAGCAAGAATTCTTATTTTATAGTTGAAGAATCAAATTCAGAAGCCAGGGGTCACATGATAACATGGCAAAACTGGACCCAAAATTTGGTCTCCTGAGAGTGAGAGTGACTTGGGAAAAGAAAGTTTGTAATAGAGAGTGAAGGTGATGTAGAGTAAAAAGCATATGATGTGTGGGAAGGGTTGTGATGACATGGAGGACATCATACTGGCAAAAAGCATCTTTTACGATTTGTAATTGTTATATTTCCAAAAGAGAATAAAGAGACTTTCAGGGGCCTGCCCCGTGGCTGAGTGGTTAAGTTCGCGTGCTCCGCTGTGGCGGCCCAGGGTCTTGCTGGTTTGGATCCTGGGCGCAGACATGGCACCACTCATCAGGCCACATTGAGGCGGCATCCCATGTGCCACAACTAGAAGGACCCACAACTAAAAAAAGTATATACAACTACGTACTGGGGGGATTTGGGAAGAAAAAGCAGAAAGAAAAGAAAAAAAATGATTTGCAACAGTTGCTAAAAAAAAAAAAAGAGACTTTCAGAGTGACAGGGATACGGGTTCTGTTTAATAATGTGGCAATGACATAGGAACAGGTATACGTAATACCTGGGTCACATTGTGTTAGTGATAGGATGAGTCAAGTCATCAGAGGATTCTTAGGGACTGTCCAGTTCTTGGTTATTCTGGAGAAAGCACTGGGTTTGGTAAGCTTCATGGTGCTATATTGAACACTTTGTTGAAATAGTAGTACATAAACGTAATGGATTTTGACTTAGGACTTATAGCTGAGTGGTAGATCTGAGAAGATGAAACATAGATGAGGATGATGATGTAGAGGTGGAAACATGTTTGGGTTGCTGTGTGTTTATTTTTTCCATATCTGCCATGCGCCAGGCGCTCTGCTAAGAGCTGGGAGAACAAATTCATTCATTCATTTATTAATTAATTTATTTATTCAGCAAATACTTCTTTAGCATATAGTCTGTGCTTGTGATGCTCACATTTTATGAGATAACAAGATAAATAAGACATGGTCCTCTGAGGTCTCAAGGAATTCTCAGTCTGATTGGGAGAGAGAGACACACATGAAAAGATAATTTTAATTTAGTGAAATAATATAAAATATAAAAATATATCATAAGAGGTGATTACTTTTCTGGTCTCACTCTCTTCCTATGTTCCAATCATGTATAGTGTTCAGTGATCTACTATATATCACTAGCAGTATCTCAAAATTAGCCAGTCCTGGTGGTCTAGTGGTTAAGGTTTCGTGCTGTCACTACTGCAGCCCGGGTTTGTTTCCTGGTCAGGGAACCATACCACCCATCTGTCGGTTGTTATACTGTGGTAGCTACATGTTGCCATGATGCTGAAAGCTATGCCACCTGTATTTCAAATACCAGTAGGGACACCCATGGTTGGCAGGTTTCACACAGCTTCCAGACTAGACGCTAGGAAGAAGGACCTGGTCCCCCACTTCTGAAAAAACTGGCAATGGAGACCCTGTGAATAGCAGCGGAGCATTGTGTGATATAGCACCGGACAGTGAGAGGATGGTGAAAAAAGACTGCTTAGGGTTCAGCTCTTCTGTATATGGTTCCAACTCATTGCACTAACAACAAATCTCAAAATTAACATGTCCAAAACGGAACTCATTGTCCTTGCTCTGAAAGCCTGCTTTTGCACCATATGCTGTATCTTAATCCAGGCAAGGATTTCAGTTTCATCTTCCATTCTTTTCATTTCTTCACCTCCTGCTTTTAACCAGTCACTAAAATCTTAATACATTTCCCTCTCTATTGTCTCTCTTCTCTTCATCTCTACTGCTACATCTTCTCTGTTAAAGCTTTAGTTTACTTCCTCCTCATCTCATCTGGATTTATTTTTCCCCGACAGTCTTCTGCCTTCAAACTTACTCTTTTCTAGTCTGTCCCTAGAATGATTTTTCTAAAAATACAAATCTGATCATGGAACTCCTCTGCTTAAATGCTTTTGGCTCTTTGTGTTCCGTAGGACAACATCCAAATTCCTTAACATAGCATCGTTTGGCCTCAACTCACCTCTCCAACCTCATCTCCTGCCCTGCCACTCCCTATTCTGTATTCTAGCTTGGATAAATTGGTCAGTTCCCTAACAAACATGTTACTTTTTTGAGCCTTGAAATCTTTGTAGTAGCTGCTTCCTCTTCCAGGAATGCCTTTTGTTCTCTGTCCTGTGAACTTTCCTCATCCTTTAGAATCTAGTTCAGTCTCACTTTTTCTTTGACATTTTCTTTGTCACCTTCACCCAACGGGTTGAGATAACCCTGTGTGACGGGGGATTCACTGTTGTAAAGGGGAGTCACCATGTGATTGAGGTTCATGTTGTGAATTATAAGGGCTCTGCTGGAGTTAAGTGAGGAGCTCTCTGGAAGAAACAGAGGTGGCGCTGGGGGGAGAGGAGGGAGTGAGTTGAGACCATACACTGATATCCC